CAATTTTGCTTTGATAAATAACTAATGCTACCTTGCAAGCAAAATGTGCTAATTTGTTAGTAGTTTAAAGCTGCAATGTGAAATTTTGCCCTAGCAGCAACAATCAGAACAAAGACTTGGAGGAAAGTCAGCCTATGACTGGCTTATTTTTAGACATATTTGCACATATTTGGGTAAAAAAAAAAAAGTTTGGGACAAACAGCACTATGTTAGTCAGACAGTCTGACCATCATATTTAGTGGCAAACAATTGAATTTATTTTATGGGTATGTAGAAAATAACCCAAATTGATAAGAGCTTTGGTGCACTCTTCCCAGGAAACTACACATCAGTATTCAGAACAAATATAAACAATTTTTCTAATCGCACCATTACTCATGAAGATATAAATTCGGTTTCATGGTAGTACTAAGGCACAAACATCCCAGAGTTCTTACATGAATATCAAAGGAATATGAAATTGTATGGCCTGTTTATTGTTTATTTCTTTCTTGTGCAAACATGTCAGTTGCTGTAAAATCTACATGAACATCAATGACACAGTGATAATGTGCTTTTCTCTCTTTATAAGTATATGTGCGACCCACTGTCATCTCTTACTGTGATTTTATCTCAACAGTGTTCATCAGTGGCAACTAATGCAGCTTTGAATGCAAAATAAAATAAAAATTAATCAACATCCAAGCACCGCTGTGACTTAAATTCAAAATTAATATTAAAAACAAACAAGAGAGAAAAGGAAAAAAGAAGCTACAAATGAAAGAGATGGCTTATTCTCTGAGATCTTGTATAACTCAGGCCTTTTTGTCCTTGCAGTAAACAGGGGCTGACGTTTTGCATTAAATTTGCATTCAATTTAGATTCAGATTTGCATTAAATTTTTTTGGTGACCTTCCAGAAGACATAATACCACAGAATATCAGACAAGTGCATTCATTAACATTTCTTTGTGCTAACACATAAGTTTCAAAATATGAATGGCAAAGAATAACTCAACCCAGACTCATTGGAAACATGTGCCTTTGGCAACATTTCTTCAAAATGACAATACATTGCTTCTTGCAACACTTTCAAAGTAAAATGTCCAGTGAGTGGAGCTAAAACTGCATATGAATCTGGCAATGTTTTATTACGTTTTATTGTTGTACATAACACGGCAGTTCGGAATTAAATGTCTGGTGTGTGGCACTAAAAGGTAATGCTCTATCATGACTAAAAATTATGTAACAGTTACACTAAACACTACCCTAAACTAATGGCATTTACAAGAGTAAACAAAAAATAAAAATGCATTTTTTTTTAAGCAGCCATGTAATTTTAGCTTGTGTCTACAAGTTTTGAGCTGTTTTATTCCAACTTATACCCAAGCACACCACAAGTGCAATGCTGTACCAGGTGAGCTACTAAGCAAGTTTACTACACCAGAAAAGCCTAGATGTGGAGATGGGTTTGTGATGTAAACGTCAAAATGTGTATATACAGTGGGTACGGAAAGTATTCAGACCCCCTTAAATTTTTCACTCTTTGTTATATTGCAGCCATTTGCTAAAATCATTTAAGTAATTTTTTTTTCCTCATTAATGTACACACAGTACCCCATATTGACAGAAAAACACAGAATTGTTGACATTTTTGCAGATTTATTAAAAAAGAAAAACTGAAATATCACATGGTCCTAAGTATTCAGACCCTTTGCTGTGACACTCATATATTTAACTCAGGTGCTGTCCATTTCTTCTGATCATCCTTGAGATGGTTCTACACCTTAATTTGAGTCCAGCTGTGTTTGATTATACTGATTGGACTTGATTAGCAAAGCCACACACCTGTCTATATAAGACATTACAGCTCACAGTGCATGTCAGAGAAAATGAGAATCATGAGGTCAAAGGAACCGCCTGAAGAGCTCAGACACAGAATTGTGGCAAGGCACAGATCTCGCCAAGGTTACAAAAAAAAATTTCTGCTGCACTTAAGGTTCCCAAGAGCACAGTGGCCTCCAT